TTAATTTAACCTCTGTTAACCTCAATTTATCTATTAAATTTCAATTTTTATTAATTATTTTCTTATTTATTTTTGTTATATATATTACGTTTTATTAGTTTTATTATATATTTTATCATTAGTATTATTATATTATATATATATATATTATTAACCTAACATTTTGAATTATTATCCCTTTAGACACCACCCCTGTTTTTTGGCTGACCAAACCTTTACCACTTTTCTAAACCTTTACTCCTTTTTTCTATTTTCATAGGAGTGACATTTTCCTATTTATTATTATTATAACCTTATAGTTATATATATATTATCATTTTTAGTTTCTCATATTGTATTATTTTATTACTACTTTTTATTTTATTTTGTTTAATTTTTGTATTTGTATTTTCGTTTTTTTATTCTTTTATTTTGTTTGGTTTTTTCTAATTTATTTATTTATTTTATTTATTGTTTATTTGTTTATTTTTATTTTATTTGTTTATATCTTTTTTTATTTGTTCGTTTTATCTTTTTTTTACTTCATGTTTTTAAGACATTTATTTACCGACTCTTTCTTCCTTTTTACTTGGGTTTATTTATTTTATTAATTAATTCCTTACCTTTTCATCTAACATTTTTTTTGATTTTTTTAAGGGCACGATTTAAATCCGTCAGAGGTAAATAATTTGGATCAACTTTTACCTTTTAATTTAAAGTTACGATTTTCTTAATTAAAGTCAACTGAAAATTATGTAGTACTGAAAGGGCAGTTCAAGGGTGCTAACCCTTCCTTGACTGTAACCGACTCCCGAATCTGACATATCTTTGGTAAGACTCAGATCATGTAAGAAATAGGGTATCCGATCAACCCATTTATTTTAAAAAATGATCGGTGGCGACTCCCAATCCATTTTCCTAAGTCGAAGCCCAATTCCGGGCTCAACCAAAAGACGGTTCCGACACTATGTTCTTTTGTTTTTTAATTTTCAGTTATTCTATCTATATGACATGTTTTCATCTAACTTAATGACATATTATCATTTGTCTTTTGTGGCACGTTTTCTTTTGGTTTTGACATATTTTTCGATTGTTTGGCCATTGTTTTCATTTATTTTTTTTCTATGGGTTGATTTGACATTGCCACAACTGATTAAGATGATGATTATATGATATCTTGTTGATCTTCTCTACTTTGGACCATAAGAGTGGATTTGAATACCTGTTTGCGTTCATGGATAGCTTTTGTAACATCCTCAATACTGGGTTAGTGAAAAAATTGTAAAGTTTTAGAATTTGAGGATTAAAGTAGAATAATTTAATAGTTCATGGACTTATATGAGAAATATTGTGTAGGATTAAATTATAAAGAAGGATGAATTGAAGGAAAAAATGGTCATTTGCAATTAAATAATTAAGTTTGGTTATATATTAACCACGTGAAAGTGAAGGAAGCAAAAACAAGCTTCCATAGTTATCTTCCTCTTCTTCTTCCTTCTTTATACGGGAGAGCTTAAGGAAAGCTTAAGTTATCTTAAAATCAAAAGATGATGGAGTTAGGAGAGATTAAAGATTTGGAGTTCTTGAATGAAATCTTGAAATAGAGTTCATAATTAGAATTGGAAGTTGGATTTGACTTGTCATCAACCTAATTAAGGAATATGAAGTGTTAGAATTGGATTTAAAACATGTTGAAATTTGAGTATGATTTTTAAATGCTATGTGGAGGATTGGATTTTGAAGTTAAAGAGGTATTTAATGAGTATTAATTAGTTTAAGTAGGTGTATATAAGTTAAGGATATGAAAGGGGTTAAAATATGACACAATTGAGCTAGAGTGAAGTGATTTTCGTGCTCAAAATGTGATTTATGGGCAGGGTGTATCGGTACACATTCAATAGGTACCGATACATCAAGGTTAAAATTCAGAAAAATATTCAAAGTGTATCGATACACCCCTTGTAATGAAAAACATCGAATGTAATTTGTGTACCGATACATAGGTAGTGTATCGATACACACGTTAAGGGATGTATCGATACACTATAGAGTGTACCGATACCTACCTTAAATAAGAAGTGAAAGTAACCTTTCTTTTACTTTAAGAAATGGAAGATTAGAATATACCAATTAGTGTACTGATATGTATCAATATATTATTATGTAGATATAGAAGTAATCCCGTTCCAGAACAATCAAAGAATTATGATCAAGTCAAAGCAAGCAAGGCTAAGGTGAGTGCATTTCCTAGATAGAGTTGTATGGAGATAAGACTTGCGATAAGTCTATCTCCTATAATTGAATTCATGATTTCATATCCATGTACATGCATTTATATATATATATATATATATATATATATATATATAATATTGTTATAGTGATTTCATGCATAATTCATTTATGCTTAAATATAATATTATATGAATGAACACAATGATAAGAGAATCAATCTAGGTATTCATAATTAAACACATGTTATTTAATATGAGAGCTGTAGGTATAATTGGCATGCCAAGAGTCGAGGGATTATCAGTGGTCCTTCGGGACATAATGGTCATTCGGGACATAGTGGTCCCTCGGGACATAGTGGTCCTTCGGGACAAATATTCAATGCCCCTAGTGGGAATTATTCGAGCTGTGGTGACAACATTGTGTACAACCTCATTGTACTCACGTACCTACTGTTCTCAATAATGTACATGGGCAATCCAAAGATAAATTAAAGTGAAAATGGAATAAGAAGATAAGTTTCATATGTGCATGACATGATCATATATGTTATAGTGTAATAGATACATGCAAGTTGAAATGTCATGATCAAATGGTAAGAGTGCATGTTCATGAATTTATTGTTATATATTCAAATTATGCCTCACTAAGTCTGTGACTTAGCGTGTAAGTGGTTTACACGTAGGTACCAAGAAACAAGAAGATCAGAGTTAGTAATTACCATGACAACATCACTACTAGAAGATCAGATCAAAAGTAATAGGCAAAGTATGTGTTTTGTTGTATATAGTGTGTTGGCATGTAAACATATCGTTAATTACGAATGCTCTGATCGATTTTGTATTGTTCTTGTCAAACTTTTGTAAGTTTAAAACTTCTATTGTATTGAAAGTTCAAAATTTCCTTGATTTTCTGTAAGAGTCAAAGGTTGAAAAGTCAATGTGACACTTCAGACTCGTATCCGAGTCGGGTACGGGTTAGGGGTGTTATAGCTTTTCTCGTCGCTTGAGTCTGATTTGCGATTTTGTCAATGGTCTTTGAATAGTTTGATATCCTTTTATGATTCGTTTACCGATGCAATCTGATCTCTTTGTATCTATATTTGTTCAAGTTTCTTGGTTAGATTTTTAATCTTTTGTCCTTATGATCATAAGTTGCTAGTTTTGTTTGAATGATTATATGAAATTATTCTAATTCTGTGCTTAATTTACAATCAGATTTACAATTCTGATTTTAAAATTTTATTGTAATTTGAGATATTTCTTATTTTGAATAAAATTAGTTGCTTCCATTAAAAAATATATATAAAAAGGTTATTTATTTGTATTGTTTCTAAAATTATATTTTTATTTTCTGATTTTTTAATACTGGCCTTTATATTAATTTTTATATAAAAGTTTTAGTTTTTCTTTTAATTTCTATTTAATGTTAACGTCAACTATTACCCTGACAATTATAAAAAGATTAAAATAACTACATTTACAGTGTTTTTTTATCAATTGCATTTTTAATATTTAAAATTATACAAAAATCATTATATTTAAACAATTTATTCTTTCAATGGTCTATTTTTACAGCTTTTAAAAGATTATATTGATAAAAATTACAAATATAGAGGATTAAAAAGTTGTATTCTTTTAGCTCTCTACATACAGCCTTTCCTGTTAGAGATCCAATTACAAAGTGAAAGCATCAATGGGCTGGGCTAGGTTATATTAGATTCGAGCCGAGCAAAACTGAACTAAAACATGATAATCAATTTTTATTTATACGGTTATAGTACAAGATTTTCGGGACACAAGAAAGGCGATACAATAAGAAATCTGGGAACGAAACCCAGATATTATTTGTATTGTTCCTTCAAGTAACCGACAACCTTATTATCAAATTTACTACGATTAAAAACCATTTTTTAGTAAAATTTACCTCAAATACAGGTTTCAAGAAATAAATAATAGATCAAGCTCCTAAATATATGGAATCTGAGTTTTAAATAGCGAGACGCAAACACAATAGCAGCAACTATTTTGCGGTAGCACCGTCAATCAAAATTGGTATTGATTTTTTTAACGATGAGTATCAGATTCACGTCTATAACGGTCCGTCACACCCGCAATTTAACGGGTAGCAATGTATATCACCGATAACAGCTCGCTATCACCGTTACCCTACCGTTACCAACCAAAGATTAAATGGGAAGTGGACAAGACAACAAACCAAAACCTGTGTTTTGGGTATAAATCTTGCATTTGTTGAGCTTCATTGCCGGTGAAAAAGTTGAGCAGCAAAAAGCTTACATTTGAGAAGGTAAAAATAAAATGAGCCTCTACCTATAATTTTCTATCATTTTGTAAAAGACGAAAAGTTGAGAGAAATTTTAATGTAGCTGAAATGTTTCTAAAGAGAGCACTCTTTTCGGCTTTAATTTTACTCAAAACTCTAGTTTCCAGGCCATTAATATTGTTGCTTTAATTGTTTTGTTGCCAACTGGACCACATTATCATAGGTAGGTTAATTTCAATTTTAGCCCTCCCTCTTACCTTTTAGATTTTTTATTTAGAGTGTAAACTTTCATTTTCATTTAATTTAATCCTAATTTTAATAATTTAAATTTTACACTTAAAAACATTCTAAAAATTATTAAAATTACTAAAAATTATAATTATAATTATAATTATCATGTTTTAGGAAAAGTTCGAAATTTAAAAATTTCACAACCACGACACTCGCAATGACCGTGATGACATATGTTATGTCCACAACCGCGATAAATGCAACGCGACCAAAAATACAGCCGTGAACGCTATTTAAGTCCCTGTTTGGAATTACAATGTTTCTTAGTAACTTAATCTCAAGTGCATCATAAAACGTGAAACAAAATGTGAAAAGCATAATAACTCTCTTTCACTAAGAACTCCGAGTAGGAAGCTCACTCGGATTTGTCATCTCACTTAACTTTTTTTTCTGTGGTTCATGCAAAATCCCAAATCAAAATCGAATACCTGTTGAGCTTAACTGAGGAACCTTGAAACCTATCATGACATCTTCATCTGGATTTGCCTATGAATATGTACAAGAAACTCGACATAAGATGGCCCACCTACATTCTTGTCTTCAACCATGCAAGATAAGAACAGCATTCCTGAAAATGTAGCATTGAATCATGAGAATTCCATAAACATAATTGCTCTTCTAAAATGGAAATTGATTATACACAGATTACTCTTTAACAATAAGAAACCCGCAGGTGTAGAAGCAATTTGCTTCATTGTCACAAAATTTAAGGCAAAAATTCTTGGACAATCATTAAACACCTTACTCAAACTCTCAAATTACATAGTCGAGAAAAGTTCATATGATGCCATGCTTAAAAAATCCATGGCTATTTTGGTTGAATATTCCACATATGATAATTTATCAAGTAGTCTCATAGTTTGCATGAGAAGTTCAATGCACTGACCTAATGGATCCCCCTTCTTGCACAATTTGAAGCTGCAAAAGAATATCAAGATACAATTGCATTAAACAATCAAATATACTTCACTTTTGCTATAAAAGAGATGGAACAAAAATCATTCTTTTAGGGGTAAAGTAACACTAAGGTAAGAACCATTAATCATACCGAAGGTAGGAACATCTTTGTTGACGGATCACATTTACAACATCATTTAGCTTCTTTGATAAAGGATTGTCAAATTGCCGCATCACAAACTGAAAATACAATGTTGGCAACAGACTGTTAGTGTCAGTAATAGGTAGGTGAAAGGGTCCAGACACGGAATAATGCTGAAAAGTGAAAAACATATTATGGAATAGACACCAAAAGCTCCATAAAGATTTCTTCTTCGTCTTCTTCCTCCTTTCCCCCCAATCTTTTCTTTCTACCATACTGAGAGGAGATAGCCTTACCCAATTAGACTAAATGGAAAAGCTCCAAATTCACTCATTTCAGCTTTATACTATTCAATCATAAAACACAACAGCTTTCAAGACTGTTGCCATTCAATGAAAAAATCACACACTCCATAAATAACAATGGGAAATGCACACCTTTAAATGGAAGGAATTTGAAACTTAGCAGGCAGACAAAAAATATTATACAGGGAGTTCAATAGTGATTTCAAATCAAAACCTGGACGAGGTCTATTTAATATATACTGGGCCATTTGAATTTAGTATTTAAATGTGCAATTTACTTTAAAATAAATAGGGCAACAGTTATTTTCAGTCGATATAAACCTGAAAATGTCTGGAAAAACATTATCAGGTCCTTAACACTTCTGACTGTCCTTTCGTGTCAGAATTCACAAAATGTTTCTAATAAATGAATAAGGATAATAAGAAACACAAAGTAAAACAATGTACCTGAGTGGGGACTTCATCAACTGAGTTGAAGCCAAAAAGTTGTTGCATGATATTTGAATCCACCGAGCTCCCAAAATTTATTAAAACATCCTCACCATTCTCAAGCAGATATATTCCATCATCACTGACATGTTCACTAGAAAGTGGGATTGTAGGAGGAAGAATAGAATCATCCCCTTCCTGTCCAACAAGCAGAAAATTGTCTGTTAGCATGGTTAAAATACTTTGGATCATAAGGCAACTAGAAATTTATTACCTTTGAATTAAGGTTGTGGATGGCAAACATCCTGGGATAAACCAGTGGGACTGCCAAAGGAGTAGAAAGGGAGGAAACATAATTGGACCAGAAGGAACGGTCATCTATTCTGCCATCATTTCGCAACCCAGTACTCTTGATTAACGCTGAAGGAAAAAAATTATATTTATCAAAATTTTTCTCGAGACTATGACTGACTTTCTGCCACAGGGTTTTTGCCAAGACGGAAGAGAACATGAAGTTTGAAAATCGAGATTAACTAAAATAATAACAATGGTAATGAATGAGACACAACATCGAGTAGAGAATTAACAAAAAAAAAATATTTATACCAAGGGTATATAGAGGAAGAAGCTTAAGAGCCTCAGGAAGAATAAGCTGTCCAGATGATGATACCGTGGCGCAAAATTTACGATATGAAAGCAGTGTGTTGATGCAAAGATTTGTCACTTGGTCCCTCACTTGCATTAGCGGGGCTGTAGGAATTTCAATTGCGGCTGCATTCAAGGTAAATCAGAAAACACGCACTGCATTGTCAGTATTCTTGCACATCAAACTAATGATTCCATGAAGAATATTGCAATAAAATTCTTTGGAAAAAATAAACAAGTAACATCCCATCCAAATAACATCAATCCATAAAGTGAAGAATAATGGCAACGTGGAACATCTTCAAATCACAGTTGGAAGCAAAGAAAACATTGAATTGGGTAGGAAGGTTACAAAAAATTGAAGTGGTTTCATGGTAATCATTACTTCTTCAATCGTTGGTGTTTTTATGGGTTTTGTTCTTTAACAGTGATTTGTTGTTTTGTAATTGAACTTTGGGTGTTCCTTGGAGTTTGTTTGCTATTGTTTTTAAAAACTTTTAGGTGATTCTCGGCCATTTGTATCTTGGTTTTCTTTGGTCTGAATTGTTTTATGTTTTTTTTTGTGTTCCTAGATGTCTTTTGGGGTTTTTTTTAAGAGGTCAATCAGGTGTTGCAGTTGCTTTTATTTACCATTTGGGTTCTAATAAAAAAAATTGGCCAAACCCAAAAAAAAAAACTTGCACAACCAATTCACCAAAAAGGGAAAAGAAAGGAAAGGAAGGATGTACAATGCAGAATTGAGTACCTTGTTTTAAGAAATTTGCGAATTGAGCATCTAAGTCCGCAGCACGGAACAAATTACTTAGCATATTTGTGCATGGCAAGGATAAGTTTGTGACTCGAATTCTTCTTTGCCCATAAACAGTGGTATACAGAAGGGCGCACTGGAACATAAAAGCCAAATATTATAGATGCATAAAAATGCTTAACTTGCCAATGCTAACAAATAATGAAAGAAACATCATTGGGCATTAAAGATTCAGATACTATTAATTAGTACCTGAAAAGCACATTCAGAACCATCTTGTAATTTGTCATCATGCTTTAAGGTTACCAATATGCATTTGTCAGAATCAATCTGCATAACAGAAAGGACTGATCATGGTTTGAACAAAAATAGATAAAATACCCAAAACAGAGCTTCACCATGTCAAAACCCTAGTAGCAGAAAAATGTGCAAATATTTCTTTTGAACAATATTACCAATTCATAAGCTACAAAACCAGGGCTCGTGAAAGCACAAAACTACATACATGACAAAGGGAAAATGTTGAATAAAGAATATCACATTTTGGAATTGGTTATTTGGTACTAAATATGAGAATTCATGAGGTACTTTTAAGATAAGCATTGCAACACGAGTATCTTGCTCCGACCCTGTGACAGCTTAATTTTTCTTTATAATCATGTTACAATGCGTTGAATACCTCCAGCAGGACAAAAATTATTATTGTGAAACTCTTTGACAGAAGGAAAAATCAATAAAAATTTGCACACACTTGTCGGCCACACGCAATACCTTCAAACATCTCAACTCCAGTCATATACCAAGAAACCAACCACAGGAAGAAGTAATACATCAACTCATCATTCATTTCCCTAGCTCATTCATATTGCAATTATAAGATTGACTTAAATCACAAATATGAGAAAATATAACATCATTTTGCCCAGTAGTTAAAAGGCTATCGACTGAATTTCAAACACCAGGGAAAATTAGGAGTAATTATTCAAAACATCAATCCCCAAAATGAAATAATATTCACCAGGCTGGAAGCACAATATCCCAGATTCTTGATCCAAGCAAATTTTCTAACACGGTTTTTAGCAAGGACTAGCTAATCATCCAACTCGAGTTCAAAGTTAAACATTATGCAAAAAATAATTTTATAATATTTTTAGGTTAACCAAACAGTGCAAGGAGTTACGATCAGGTTTTTGAATCTTTCTTAAGTGGTTAAATAATAAAATAACTGTGGTTCAGAAGATAAAGCAAATTAACGAGAAATATAAGAGCAAGTATTTTTCAAAAGGAGCACAAACCCCAGGTAGGTCAATGTCGGTTGGAATGCGTCTGCAGAAATTTCCAGAGTAATCATGAACTTGAATACCCTACAAGTATACAAGGGGTAAACATATTAAAATATGGTCAAATTATCAGCACAATCCGATAAAGTCAACTTTCAATATTTCACTTAAGAAACAGAGCAACACAGAAACATTACCTGGCTGCATCTTACACGCATGACAGCCTCAAAACCTTGGGGCCTAGTGATGTTCCATCTAAGGTCATTGTAGAGCTTTGCAGGATCAGATACAGCAGAGAAGGGGTAATAATAATACACCTGGAATTTCGAGAAAATGTGTTGAAAAGTAACTTTTCCATTCAAGAAATAAATCTGTAACCCTGATAATGAATGTCTCATACATAGAGTTCGACAAGTAGAGATTTAACTGAATAATATATGGCATCAATATAGTCAGGCTTTCAAGTTTCACCAAGGTATGCATCAGACTCGATAGTTTATTGATTAGTACTCTACTGGGGGAAGCAAACAAGTGGGTGGAGATGACACCAGCAAGTTCACTAACAATGACAAGGGAGTCATTTGGTTTATCACACAGAGAGAAGATCAAGTAAAGACAACTTCTTAACTAACAAAAAAAGGGAATAAGCCACACATCCGTAATATTTTTACTGCTCCCTATAAACTTGAGATGCACCTCATCCATAGTTTACCAATTACCACTGTTTAACCAAGGAAACTCAGCAACCCCATTCATAAATTATTTGGATGTGGTATTGGAGATTCTGCAGCACAGAGTCAGACTCAGAAAGATCAGAAAATCTAGCCTGTTCTGATTTCAGTAACAATTTTGCATTGTGTGACCCGACTTAAGCACAAATATGTCCAATAACCACCGACATACAAAAATATTGAAGTACCATGCAACAAATATTTTAAAGCACAGCCACATGCAAGGTTTGCTACTTAGTGCACTTTACGAACTTCAAAGTAGCTGGTTCACTGAAATGCTTCATCGTGTGCAGGAATTAGAGCTTAGCTATATACTTTGGTTAACAAGAGGCATTTTGGATGAATTATAATAGAAAATGTACTTCCTCGTTTATGTATGTTTCACATTTTAATTAAAATTGGTCTTAATATTTTTCATTACAAAATTTTATAATTTTAAATAGTGAAAAATACGTTTAAAAGCTTGAATCTTAATAAGTGTACATAAAACATTATATGCTGATATAACTTTAAATTTAGAGAAACTTAAAATTTAAATTAAGAAAACAGTGACTGCAGATGGAATTCAATTGAAGCAGAAACAAACTTCACCATTTTTATTCATGTATTATATTATCAGTCATAAGATAGGGTTCCAGAAGATAATAATTTGTATTACATTATCAGCCAGAAAAACAAAACAGATAAATAAATAAAAATAAGTAAATATCATGGTAATACCTGGCCTCCAGTAGTTCTTGGGATGACAGAGATGGAAGCAACGTCTACATAACTCTGAGTAGTTAAAAAAACATCAACACAGACCTGCAATGTGTTGCAATAGAAGAATATGAGGGAAAAAAATCAGTCATAATAATAATATAGATTTATCTACCAGCATGAATTTCAACAAGCATCCATCAGGTAGATTTTTATTTTCACATCATCATGATATCAAGGAGAAAAAAATTACTGCTAGTTTACCTGATACTCAGCAAATTCAATTGCCAGTGTCTTAAGAATTTTGTCAGCTGGTTGCAGTAATTTATGAGCTTCCTAAACAAATAGAAGTGGAAAAAGAAATCAATTCAGAAGCATAATTCTATCTTCCATTGGATATGAAATAGTTCTTGTTACAATCACAATATTATGAATTATAATAAGCAAATATATACAAGAGATTCAACATGAAAGAACAGAATAAAAAAATCATATCTGAAATGCTGATCAATAGTTGATAATTCATTTATGATTTTTTTGGATGAATTTCTTTTTATTATTTTTTCTTCTCTCAGAAGGGGATTCCCACACATCATGCGAAAGTCACAAATGCATTACAAAGATGATCATTAGATATAAGTAACATATCCATCCCAAAAAGGGCCAAATTTTTGAAAGCCTGCCAACCACAGAAAAAAATTCAGGAACTAAAAGCCTAGTCTAGCCTTGCAACAAATCACTTTTTGGTTAGAAAAACTTGAATCCATGCCAAGCATGATATTGAAAAGAAGATTACCAATATTTACATCTAGAAAATCAAAGAAGCATTTCTACTAATAGATCAGAAAACAGATTAATCAGGTTCATAATAATATATCAAATTCTTAGTGGTACGTAACCATCCCAATATTCTGAATAGATGATAGAATCAAGTGTAGATGATAAACAGATAAAGCAGGTTTCAGAGATGAGATGCAGCAGTTGCAACACTGAAGTTGGACAAACAAACAGAAGATTCCACATTTTTATTTTTTAGTTGCAAGTCTGAAGGTATAACAATATCTTCATCTACAAGAACTGTACTTGGGGGGAAAAGAGTTTTAAAAAAAGAATTCCACAATTATTCAAATAAAATTAAACATATAGAGGAAACAATTAAAAGCCATATGCAAACCTTTTCACTAGCAGAAATATTAGTTCTTCCTTCAGCCTCTCTAGAAGAAAGGGCACCAATACCAACTGATGGCAAAACTGTCACAAAATATATATACATATTAATTAGATAACTAAGGGAAATGATACAGTAACTTGTGTGTATGAGAGCTGTATGACAAGCCATTCCGAAACATGCAAGTGTCAAATAGGTAGAAAAGAGTTTGCCTGATTGAAAAACAAGAAGCTTCCCTCCAGTACTTTTCATGGCCAAGAATGCAGCCTGAAATATAAACAGAACACTGAGATATCAGCATCTACACTTTAAATGTACATGAATTGTTGTACACCCTAATTATGACCAGACACTATTAATTTCCCAGGAGACCATAAAACTCTAACTTTCCAGAAACCCCCAAGAAAGCTAAAGTTATTGAACATATTCCTTGAGCAAAAGAGAGAAAGTTTCTTGCCTTTCAAAACTTGAACAAGTTCCACTTTTTGTTATAGTCATAACTATAACAAAAATGCATTTGCTTAACGAGGAAACAGACTAACCCATGACAAAATCTTGAAGTTCTAGATACTATGTTGCCCCAGTGATAGGATCAGTGGGGTTGAGTAGACTAGAATTTTATCTGTTAATTTATAGTATCACCATGAAATAGCTTACCTTGATTGCTGCACCAAAACATGACTCAGCAGTTGTACTAGTCTGAAACATTGTTGGGATGTTTTCAAGCAACAACTCTAAATGTTGGCGGCACTGAATCCTCAGAATAAAAAAACATTGTCAGCAGAACATATTTGAGAAATCTCAAGCATGACATGATAGCTTCAGCCACTGTTAAATTAAGAATTTGTAAACTTCAACAAATATAAGGGAAAAAATCCCAACTAAGAATTAACCTCAGAAAGCTGAACAATGACATCCGTTTCAAGAGGAGTATAGACATCTTGAATGTCAGGAACGATAAGCATCAACGGCTGCAAATTGAAGACATTCAAATCAGCTAAAGAATAATTTCAAGAGGTTCTTCAGTAGATTACATCAGAGAAAAAGATCATATAAAACAAATTTCAAAGAGATATCAATGATCCGCAAAAAATGAAACCTGACATGTTAATGCCCTGTTATTCTTTCACTTTCCATCTATGTGGGAAATTAACTTCCCACCAATTATCAAGGGAATTACCTTCCATTGTTTGTGGGAAAGTAACTCCAAAGGGAATAGTACAATCCAAGGAAAGTACACAAACTTTTGCATCCCAAACATTGGAATCACATTCCAACTAATTGAATTCCTTGGAAAGTGAACTTTCCATCATACCAAATGCCACCAAAAGGTTGAACAAACCTTTTTGTACCAATCCCAAACACAAACACATTATTAGCAACATGCATGTTGTTTATATACCACTCACACCACTCTTATATTGATCCTCCACTGATTAGTCCTAATCAATTAAACCTCACTTAAGCAGATAACAAAACCATCCAAAATTCCACACTGCAAGGCCCCAATATCAAAAACATAATTTTGTGGTCCTGCATCACAAATTCAAGTGTAAAGCATGCAGCCCAACCCAGAATGTCTAATTTACCATCATGTCATCAATGAAACTACTTGAAGAAATAAATTCTTGAAACCTCTAAAAATATTAGAATCTTCTATTTGTCATTATTATAAAATTGACTTCCCTTTCTAAAATAGAGAGCAGTCAACAAAATGAGACTACAAAAAAGTCTTCTACCCAAAACAATAGTTGCCTGAAAGAGGGAATGTTAAATGAAGCAACGATTACTGACCTGTTGCAGTGCCCGTTTTAAATTATAAAAATGGATTGTTGAGTCAAATGTTGCTATTCCAACTAGAGTTCGGGGACCTTCCTGCAATAAGCAATTAACACATCAAGCAACTGAATTCCACTGCCTTGTATATGTTTTGAGAAGAAACCATTGAACAGAATGGAAAAGGAAAGATCAAGACAGCATATCAACCTCCAACTCAACCAACATTACAGACGTCGATTATTGCAGACAAAATGTAGAAGACTTGCATTATCTTTAGAACGCATTGCAAAGGACAATTAGCCATGCCTTATGTACAACCAACCTAACTTGGCCAAAATCATAAAATCGCAAGATTTACCATCACATTGAATGGAAATACTCCATTATATTCCCAAAACTATGTGTAATGAAAACACACAATTGAAACACTTTTTTTTTTTGATAGAAGGGGAGGCCTCGTTAAAAATCCCCTTCATAACCGTCAAGCTACAAGAGTGGCTCAACGGACATTGGAAGGAGGAAAAGAGTGCCCCGTAATTTTATTGCATAGATACCAAGTACAAAAAGAGTACAATACCACCAAAAACAACCAGACTACCACCTTAACAATGACCAACTTTAAGCTACAGAAACACATCAATGACCAAACCCAACTCAAAAAAAAAAAAAAAACTATATCCTAAAAACAATCAACCAAACACAAGCATAACACAATTGACAAATATAACCAAAACTTCCCAAAATACAATAAATTCAATGCAACAAATATATCCCAACCAATTAGCCTATACCTAGCTTAGCAAATTCATTCGCTTCCCAGTTAGTTGCTCTCAAAACATGCCTAACAATAACACCTCTATCAACCACAATCAAGGATATCTTTAACTATGGACAAGAACAACATGGTGGTGGCAGCAGGATTCTTGATCCAACCCACAACCACATCACAATCGAATTCTAAAATAAGCCTTCGATTCGCCGACATCCCCGACTCCAAGAAAAGCCTCAACCCTCTCTTAATTGCCATCAATTCTGCCAGAATTGGAGGGCCAGAAGCAGCTCTCTCTGAGAAAGATCCCAACATCACACCTTTCTCATCTCTGAGCAGCCCACCAATGCCACCTTCCAACCACATTCTCTCCATAGAACCATCCACGTTCACTTTAAGCAACCTGGTGGAGGCGGAGACCAGCTCACAAAATCTAAAGGGATCTTTTCAGAACTCGAAACACAATTTGCCAATGAAGTATCCCCCACTAGGCTATCAAAAGAAATCAACACTTTAGGAAATTTTGAAGTAAACAATGCTGCCACTCTATACCTTGTGAGAAAAGATAACAATGCAAAATCCAGCTTCCCTTCATTAAAAACGATCTCATTCCCCATCTTCCAAATTGACCACAAAACGACTCTTGGGATGAACACCCAAATGATTGATCGAGACACAAGGTCAAACCAAATGGAAATCAACGCAACAGAACACTCAGGAATAGCAAAAGAAACATTCCAAAGCCACAAAAAACTCACCCATAAACCCCATGACACTTTACACGAAACAAACAAATGAAAAAGTAGTTTTCTGAACCAAACCGCAAAACGGACAAGATGAATTTTCAATCCCTTGCACCCACGTTTAATTAAATCCACTTTGACTGCTACCTTCTTGTGAACCACCTGCCAGACAAAAGATTCGACCCGAGGAGGAGCCCACACCAGACCACACATGTCTGAATTGTCAAGAAGGATTCTAAGGCAAGATTTAACTGAAAAAGGACCATCTCCTTCTCCTGACCACACAAGGCTGTCATCAATCAAAGGCGAGGGATTAAAATTATACAACAATGAAATAAGTTCATTCCATTGCATCTTCTCCCAGTCAGCAAGATTTCTTCTCATAGGAATGTCCCAAAAACAGCCTGAAGAGTTTGATTTCCTAAAATCAGCTATCTTCCCCTCATTATTCGAAAGAGTGAACAACCTTGGAAAACGCTCTTTCAAAGGAACTCCATTAAGCCAAGCATCATGCCAAAACAAAATTGAATCCCCATTGCCCACCTTCATTTGAAGACTCCACAAACAAGCTCCAAAGTCATCATCCAAGCTGCCATTTTTAACAACCCCCTTCCATATCCAAGATGCTTAGTAAGAGGCCGAATTTCCGAACCCCATTGAATTCGGATCAATTTTATTATTGCAGCAAATAATCCTTACCAGGAGTTTTTCTCATTATCAAATTTCCACATCCATTTTCCCAATAACGCTATGTTCATAAGCTCTAAATTTGGAACCCCAAGCCCTCCCAAAGCCTTAGGCTTGCAAACAGTAGATCAATTTACCCAATGAATTATGATTTTAACAACTGAATCCCCCCAAAGAAATTTCGCCATAATTGAATTTAGCCTCTTCAATACACAACTCGGCATTCTGAAAATTGACATAAAATATATCGGCAGGGAGCAAAGAACATATTTTATCAACACAACTTTACCAGCAATAGACAATGAAGTTGCCTTCCACCCAGTTAATTTCTTGTAAAACTTTTGAATAATCGAGTACCATAATGATGCCGAATTTTTCTTCGCCCCAAGAGGTAACCCCAAATAATTTGTTGGGAAATAACCCACTGTACACCCTATTATAGCAGCCCACTCACCATGGACCCCTTCATTCATGTTGATTTCGTACAACCTACTCTTGAATAAATTAATTTGCAAGCCATACATCATCTCAAAGATCAGAAGCATCCTACTCACATTCTTCAACTCTCCGATCGAAGCGTTACAAAAAATCAATAGATCGTTTGCAAATTGGAGGTGAGAGAGCTCAAAAGAATTACCCTGACTTCCAATCACAAAACCTCTAAACAAACCTAAACTCACAGCCTTTGACAACATCAAGCTCAATAATTGGCCAACCAATTAAAAAGATGAGGAGAAAGAGAGCAACCCTATCGAAGACCTCGCAATCCGAAACTCATCCGAAGGAGAACCATTTACTAAAACCAAAATTGAAGCCGAAGACAAGCACAATTTCATCCAAGATCTCCACCTCTGCCCAAACCCCATACAATCCATGATTTTTCAATAATATACTCCAATCAATTGAGTCATACGCTCTCTTGAAGTCAACCTTGAACACTATTCCTTTAAGACCTTTCCTTCTCCAACAATCAATCCCCTCGTTCACAATAAACGAGCAATCCATAATATGCCTCCCCGGAATGAAGGCGAACTAGGAAGGGCCAACAACCACATCCATACATTATCGTAATCTCCTAGATAACACCTTCGACAAAATCTTATAAAGCCCTCCGACTAGGCTAATCGGTCTAAAGTCCACAATACTTTCCGCGCTGGTCTTTTTCGGGATAAGGGTAATGAAAGAGTGGTTTACCCCCTTATCCCATCTTTTACCCACATAAAAGTCACTGAAAAACCTAAAGATTTTCCCTTTTAGATTCGACCAGAACTTTTTGAAAAATCCCATTGTCAATCCATCCGGACCCAGAGCCTTATTACAATTCGAGGATGATATTGCATCCCAAACTTCTTCCTTCAAAAATGGACTCTCCAAAAACGAATTATGCTCCACTGAAATCTTCGAAAAATTCAAATCCAAATCCTCTACCTCAACTGTAGGGTTCCTATTGTGAGCTTCTTTGAAAAATTTTGCAATGTTTAATTTAATTACTTCAGGATCTGTCATTAACTGACCACCCACTTTCAATGCTTTAATAACATTCACCCTTCTTCTCTTTGCTGCACACATATGAAAAAACTAGTGTTTCGGTTGCCCTCCGAACACCATTTCACTCGTGATTTCTGCAACCAAATCAGCTCCTTTTTTATATAAATCCCAAAGCTTCTTTCTAGCCATACCCAGAGACTCCATAGAGACGAAAGAGGAGCCATGCTGCATATCAAGCTCCGTATCATGTATATATTTTTCCAGCTCCGAAATGGACCCTTGCATTTTGACAAAACAGGCTTTAGAGCACTTTTTGATGGTCGCTTTAGAGCATTTTAGTACATTGAAAATCCCTTTTCTCCTACTGCCATCCTCGCTTTATGAAATTCCTCCATCATTGCCTCTTTGAAACGTTCCTCCTCTAACAAGTAATTAGCTTCGACCCCAATCCAGCCCTTTGTTTTCCAAAATAATTGCATTGTGGTCCGATAAAGATCTCGGGAGCAGACTCTGATTTAGCGTCGAAAATACTGATAAGAAATTCGAATCTACAAAAAATTTGTCCAATCTAATAAAAGTTGAAATTTCTCTGTTGTTACACCAAGTGAAGTTACCACCCGACAAAGAAAGACCATTCAAATTAACCCTATGCACAAACTCATTAAAGATTCTCATAGAGAACATGTTATGATTTCTCACCATTTTCTCCTCTTGTGATAGGTATGCATTAAAACCACCTCCCAAACAAATAGGACAATCAAGTTGCAGCACAAAAGACAACAACGCCTCGAAAAAAGATTCCTTCTCCGAATCAACTGATGGCCCATACACATTAATAAACCAACATTTAACAGACAATTCTTTTAAACTACCTTTAACTACAATAAACCTCTCCTGAGCGCATTCGGACTCCACCTCCAGCTTACTTTCATCCCATAAAGTTATCAAGCCCCCTGCTGACCCAACCTCAGGGGACGCCACATACCCTCTCAACATATTCCCTCCTAATCTCCTTAGTAAGGAAAGATCGACAGGCTCCACCTTTGATTCTTGGATAAACATCAACACTGGGTTTTTTCCCTCTAATAAAATTCCTCATAGCCCTTGACTTTTCTCTTCTTCTCAAACCCCTCACATTCCAAGATACTTAAACTTGACATAGGAAATAAGATAATAACCTGATAACCACGGGAGATCAATTCTCACCCCTTTCCTCCTCTCCTCTATCACATAATTCGCCTTTTTCATAAAAGCTTTTTTACCTCCTCGAAAGGTAACCCCCATCAAATTACTAACTTCCCACCTTGCCCGAACTTCTTCATCATCATTCGAACAATGACTTGGAGCCTTTGAACTATCCCGCTTTTCCTCTCTTGAATTTCCCCTTCCTCTGCTTTTACCATAGACTCTATTAAAGAATTTGCACCCAGTTCTACCCATTGAAACCATCGTTTTTAAAGTGCGACCATGATTTGGAGGACTCATTCCCTAAGAAGAGGACCTAGAAGGAGAAACGAATCTTCGCTCAATCTAATATTTCTGTTTCAAGAACCACCTGAACCCCTTATATGATTTCCATTAATACTTAGAGAGTCCAAAGAACTGGATCTCTTACAAGACCCTAGTTGAAAAGGTCCACCTTTGTTGCTTCCTAGATCAGCCCACATAGTCTCAACATTCTCCCTAACATAATTGGGCCTATCTGACCCGCTATTAATTCCCCTAGCCCACCCATAACTGACGTCGTTTACCCCGAAAAAATCTACTACATAGGAACTAAACAATCATCCTGCCTCTCTTTATCAACCCCCAACGAATTAATTTGCCTCGTATCAGTTGCATCATTAACTCCAGGAACGAAAACCTCCATGCCACCTGTCGAAATCTCGAGCCCAAATCTCCACTCTCTCTTGGGACAACACTCTTGCCTTTTGGACTTCCCGAACCTTCAAGACCCCTCATTCATCGGACTGATTCTCCGATGATCCATCCTCCCAATCATCATAAGACTCTACATCATTCTCTCCATTCGATATCTCAGGAGAACCATCATTCGATACCTCTACTTTAATCTTTATCACATACAACCTACCGTTAGTGTTGATGGAGATTGATTTTGAGAAATCAAAAGGACTAGCCGCCCTAACAACTATCTGAGCTATTCTACAATCCAACTTCAGCAGTGTTTCCTTCTTGATCTCCACTAACTCCCCCCACATTGAAGTCAGACTGAAGAATAAGACTTCATTCCAACAATTCAAGGGAACACCAATTAGCGACACTTCGCAAAACGCCAAAGGAACATCCCCATCCGAGGAAACTGGCCTCAACCAATCGAACCAGAAATTTAACTCCAAAGCTTTTTCTTCCAAAGCTTTCATTTTCTCTTCTTCCGATAGAAAAGTGACTAAACATGAGTTCTTGGCATACCCCCAACTCACCACTTTTGCATTTATACCATCACTGTGTAGAGCTTTCTGGATTAGATCCACATCATAAAATTGTTTATGAATGCCAGTCAGCGACCTCTTTAACCAACATTGATCCTCCACAGAAATGAAGACATAGTAGGGATTCTTCAAAACAACACCGCCACTAGTTAAACTATTACGTACCCCTACTGGTAACCTCTTATTTCCCACAAGCTTATCACGATAAGAGCTCCCATCATGATACTTATTAAACACCATACCTTTGTCTTCAAGCTCTTTGTTTGAGTCACAACCTTGTTCTTAACCCCTTCAACATCTGAACCAATCGAATTCTTTCCTCTTGTCGACTTCCCTCTTGCCGACTTCTGATACTTCGCCTCCCTGACCGAAACTCTTTTCCCATCAATCATCACATTATCAACCTTTGCCACTGCTTGTAAAAGATCCTCCCGACTCTCAAAGTGAACAAAGGCAAAAGTTGAATCTCTATACTTCGGTCTCTTGTTAAAAATGGGAATAAACACCTTAACAACCTTGCCATGGAGCTTGAAACGATCCCACAAAGCTCTCCTAGTGACTCTTTTACTCAGATTATCGACAAAAGCAGACCAAGGGGCTCTAGCGAGTAGAGAACCTTGAACTGACTTTTCGCTTGCCATATTATTTTGTGAAGAGATTTAAATGGCAAAGTACAATTGAAACACATTTGATCTATCACGTAACTTGAAAACCCATTTATGTTTTTCTTGATAAATTTTCACCTAAAGCCTATATCTGCAAAGATATTCATTTGAAGAACAGGAAATACAACTGAACCAAATCGATAATCCATATTAGATTTCTCAACTAAAACATAAACCATTGGCACTTCACAGCCTCAATTATGTTACTACAATAAAATATTTAAATTTCAACTTTTTAACAGCACAAACAGCATACAGTAAAGATAAAAAGAAATGCAACAGCCACACAATGTTACATCAACAAATTCACACTTCAAATTGAAACATTTTCTTCGATGCACAAACAGAAAACTATTGAGAGAACAAAGAAATGCAATAGTCAAACAATGTTATATCAACAAACAGACTAAAAGACTCATGTGGAGCCAATCCCACTTCACAACGTCTAATTTATAACTAAAACAAGAGTTTACATTTCAATTTTTCTCTTTAATGCACAAACAACTTACTTTCAAGAGAACATATATATATACAACACACAAAAATATTGCATCAACAACAATAACTGAAGTACATCCTATAAGAACTAAGGAAAGGAACACTTCAATAATAACTTATCTAGGAAGAGTACCAATAAAGAAATAAGCCTTGAGAGACAATAATGCCTACAGAAATTATTACATATAAAAAGATGGGTCAAACTTGTAACGTGTTCAAACAATGAAAACAAACAGTAAAGAACCACATTTCTAGAGATTTTAACAGCAACAAATCCTGCGGATAAATTTGACACAATAATTTCAAATCTTTTACAATTAATGATTAAATAACAAATAATAAATCAAACCACAAACTATGATTTAGTATAGTTTTCATGTCTATTGATAAATTGCGACAATGAGAACAATAGGGGGAAATGAACAACTAAAACAATAAATTACAACAAGAAAGAAATAAAAGCCATCCATTCTAGAAATTGACATGAAACTCACAGGAAGATCAGCAATAACTTGACTAATTGCACTGCAAGCTGCAGCAATGGCACCAGTCTGTACGGCATTCATGGATACATCAATTAGGAAAAAATACACGGTTGGCATTGGATCGCGAATCTGGAATAAGAAATTTATCCAGAAGAATGAATTATACTCTGACCCAATTATATAACAAAAGACAAAGCATTGATGAAAGAATAAAAAGAAGCAAGTTCAAAAACGCCTTCCATAAACCCAAGGGAACAATAATTTCATACAACTAAATGGTACCAAATGTTAGCATAATTTTGAATTGTTCAAATTATTTTTTCCCTTTCTTTCTTTAAGCTCATCTTAATCTTTTGGTTATTACCCCTGGAATGCAGGATCACTCAAAGTAGTAAAAGAAAAGATTCACTTATCCCAACTCCTTTGCAATAGGATAGCAGCCAATCAAGAAGACATGGGGTAAAAGATATATCTACATGCGGGAACTAATATGTTACTAGCTTGAGCTAACCAAATGTTAAGTAATCATTTTATCTATACATTATCCAAAGATGTGTGCATTAAAATTTTCTACGAAAGCATTTAAGAAGAAAAGAGAGAAATGTAACCTGAGTTACATAAAGTAGAAATAAACATGTATCAATTTGAAATTTACGAATTTATAAATTTCAACAAACCATGTACTCTTTTGAAGCAACAAATTCAACTGTTCCTTTACAAAGCTCAGGCCTCTCATCAGCATCTCTACGCCGGCCATCAGGACCAAGGTTGCAGTGGTAGTCACGAGGAGTATCATCAGTAAACCCTGAAAGAGTATATCATAATCAATGATGTCATCTTCCTACATTACTGAAGCACAATCAGAGAGCAGAAATAGACAAGCTCAATGTGTGGTCATGGCATTTATCCAGCATGGAATAAGGATTTCTATATGTATGACCAGAACGTAAATGACATTTATGTGCAAAAAAATTAATTGCAAAATTGATAAAATCCAACATAATAAGAATATAAGAACATATCACCATATAATCTAAGGAGCCTATAGCTGACAACTAAGATACTGGGAGAGTATTATTACATTTCAAAAATAATTTTAGTTCAAGAGCCTCCTAACTAAAGCTATCAAATAATAATCACACTGTTTGATTCCCTAAGTGTAAGAATAATTAATCATTTAAGTTTTATAGAAATTAAACACATGCTACAGAAATGAATGAATACAAGAGTAATTAAAAGCCATAAGATATTGCCGAATATGCAATATGAAAGAACAAGAAAAATAATACTGACCGCATAAATTGCAGATAAACTTCCTCCCCTGATCAATAAACTTCATGAAAGGATTTATGTAACCTTTGCAACGAGAACATCGAACAGGACCACTTTCCCCGAAATCCACAACCTATAGAAGAAATGTGAAAAAGATGATGCGCGCACAAAATTTTTAAATTTCATGGAAGGCCTAACAGATTGGATAGTGAATTAGAAGTACAAATTGCTCAAGCATTACTTGAATAGGATCATCTGATGGATGAGAGAGGGCCATAGGTTGAACTAACAAAGCTAGCTGCATTCCAGAGGTTGTCAAAAGGTCGGCCGTGCAAGGGATCTGTTAAACAAAAAGAATTGTGAACAAGAGCATGAAACATCACGATGAGTGTTGATGAGGAAATTGTAGCACAAGCCTCATTAAAACATGAGCAATTACAGAAAAAAGGAAGCTATGATAAAATTGTATAGTTTGTTATGACCTGATTGAGGGTACATCTCACATATCGTGGACTACAATTTCCAGTGTCTCTAACTATGTAATCGCTTGTAGCAGGCTTCAAAAGATTACAAGTCATTAGGATAGATAACAAAATTCAAATTGCAACTACATAACAAAGATATGATAGCAGTATGCATGCATTCAATGGCAACCTAGAAGAAGAATGATGAACCTAAGCTTAAATAAATATCAAAAGGAATAGCCAAATGAGCAAATTCCGGGTGAATCAAGTAATTCTCTTTACGAAATGACCAGAGATTGTACCGGAGGAGGATTTGCCAAGTTGCCATGGCGAGTTTCATACACGATAGGTGTGGCACTTGGAACAGGCCTTGGAATTTGATTAGGATCAATCTTTGACGACCCTGACAGAGGTGCTCCAGGTTGACTGATGGCAGGTGGAATGGTAGTCCCAGCTTGATTTGGAAGTTGTGGCATTCCAAACATTCTTGGAGGTTGTGCATGTGTAGCACCAGGAATATGAGGAGGTTGGGATCCCTAAAGCAATTAAAAACAATCAAATTCAAAACATTATAGAAGCAAACAAAATGCAAACCCACTACAGCCAAACCACACAATTCTGGTTAGAATTTTCAGTGCCTCATACACATTGCCTCAAAATGATATCAAGTCACTAACACAATTTCAACCTAATTCAGAGTTTTAAAATATCCATCTAGACCAAAATGCCATATGCTAATTGATCAAATTCAACCTGAAGAAATAAATAACCAACTTCAAATTGGTTCGAGCTAGAAGATATGTACACCAGCTATTAGACCAAACATCCAGGTCATTTGATGTACTTTTAATGTAATTACTAAAGTGCAGGGCTAAGATTTCTACAATGGTCATTCAGTGCCTAACGTAACTACTAAAGTACAGGGATGAGATAGCATAAACAAAAGGAAGGCAATCAATGACTTTTATGCCTAAGGTATGTTGCTGAAGGACCAGCTCAACAACAAAATAATCAATGATTAATTCCGACTGACTATACTTCTTGATAGGAAGAATCTTGAAAGCGTACAGTTTTGAATACTAACCTGCTGGGGTTGCATCGGCCATGTCTGTGGTCCATAAGGAGAACCAGGAGGTGGTGGTCTAGCCTGAGGCACAGCTGAAAATGGTGATGCTGAAGGCAGGGGAGGAGTTAACGAATAACTAACAGCTGAACTTCCCAAAACAGAATGCATGGTTGAAGCCTGAGCAGGTGGCCTAGCTGACATCGTAGATGTTGGAGGCCCAACAGGGGGTTGTGAAACACTTGCAGCAGAAGGGAATCGGGGTGGACCAGGCAAACCTCCTGAGCCAACTGCAGGTGGCCCATTACTCAAAGGACCAGCAAGTGCATTTGACATTGGCACAGCAGGACCACCAATAAAAGGTGAAGATGACACAAAAGAACCCGGGCGAGAACCTGCTGGTGATGGTGCAACAGAGACACTAGATACACCTGAAGATGGGAAGGCACCAGAAGGTAGAACCGCACCACCTGTAGATGAAGGCAATGAAGCAGAAGGAGGTCTAGCCCCAAAAGGGGGCAGGTGACTAACAGGTGAACCAACCGGTCTTCCTGGGGGTACATTCACGGGTAACGTGGATTGTGGTGGTCCAGGAGGAACCACGGCAGGTCTTCCCACCATACCAGGTGGTAGTCCGGGACGTGAGGCAACTGGAAATCCAGCAGAGACTGAAGATTGATGGAAGGGTGCTTGTTGACCAAAAGGTGGAGGTCTAGGACCAGAATTGGGCATAGTAAAGGGCCGATTTAGGTTCAAATTCTGCAAGTTATCGGCTAAGGAATTGGGATCGGTTTGATTATTAGGATTAAAATTAGGCGGTGGTGGTTGCTGCCGTGCATTGGCGCCGGATCTAGGTGCCCCTGGAGGCACTGGAGCTGCCATGATTTAATCAAAACAAAATCCAACCCCCTCTTTTATTTTATAACACGATCGAAATCTACACAAATAAAAAAACAATTATTCTTTAACATTTCTAAGAAAAAAAAAGTATATACCATTATGATCCCAGCTTAACCAAAAAAAAAGATCGAACGAAATAACACACAAGGAAATAAAATTGATAAGAGAGAATAAAATAAAGTACCTGTGATCAGAAGAAAAGATGCGTCGGATCTGCTGACCGAAATTAACAGGTAGCTAAGATCTGAATGATGTAATTTATATGGTAGGGTTTTAGAAAGAGGGAACGGACAAATTAGGGGTTATTTTAGGAGGATCGACAGGTGGATTGGGATTTGATGAAGGTAGGGAAAAGAAAGGTAAGCAAAGATTGACAAGAAAAATTAATCTATCTTCATTGTTCATTCCATCTTTTGACAGATTTACAATTTTTCTTCTGTTTATTTCCTTTTTTAATTAGAGCTGTGTTTGGAAAGTTATTTTAATTTAAGGGTAAATTATGTAGTTCATCACTCATTTATCTTTTTACTCTTATTTTGGTCAATAAAATTTAAAACTTTTAATTTAACTATTAAACTTTTGAATTATTTTTATTTTAGTCACTTTAAATTATTTTATTATTTTTATATGATGTGGCATTTTATTATTATTTTATAAATATATATGCCATATAGGATTCAAAATGCTTACCGAAATGCTTTACTCTCGAAGTTGATGCATGTGATGCTTAATATATGAGGATTATTATGGCGCGTGTGATGTACATGATCTTGTGTTCGTAAGCGGAACTAAATCGGTAGTAGGTTCATGACTAGGTTGTTGGGGGTTCTGTACAAAATTTTATAAAGGGTCCATATTTTTAGATATATTTGATTTCGGAGTAACAATAGTGGCGTTTTATTGACAAACGTCGCAATAGGTCGATCTATAATGGCTTTTTTTATTAAAAAGTCACAACAATAGTGGTTTTTTTAAAAAAATATAATAGGTCCATCTATAATGCGTTTATTGGAAAAACGCCAATGTAGATATACTTTTTTGGGAGCCTACGCGGTCGCCCTTTTTGCACCGCCTCAGCCACGGCCCTGATCGGTAGAACGGTAATATTAACGTTTAATACTGGAAGGTAAATTGCTTCAACTTGGAGAAGATGTTCTGCTTAGGAAGGTGATGACTGATGAGTTCAAAAACTCCTTATTCAGTAGAAGCATCTGTCGGGTTTCGAATTGTAACATGTATTACTGTTCGATTGTATAGGGTCGTAGGAATCGATATAAACAGCACGTTTTGATGAGCATTCGTTAAGGGCCCACACTTGGTCTTTTCTCTAGCTCGCAATTCGAGTTGACTATATCTGGATTCTTGCTTCTCCAGATTTCACTTTTCCAAGAGGTATCAAAACATCCCTTGGACCAGTCCCTCCAGATTTTTACTACCACTACCGTTGTTGTTATCTCCAAAGACCTCTTGGGTGTAGCATTTTATTTTCAGATATTCACCCTCTCCTATTTCTTTAAACTCAAACTTCTGTTCTAAATCGAGTTAATTTGATTTTTGACTTTTTATATTAATTTTAAATATTATATTTTGAAAAAAAATTGAATATTTTTTCCGATGAAATTAATATTAGATTCGCGTTTGGGAGGTAAAAAAATAAGTGAATTAGAAATTTTAGATCTAATAGTCATCGATGATGGCGATTGACAATGATCGGTGATGGCAACTGGCGGTGATCGACGACGACGATGAGTGACGTCCATCGATGTGAACTTTAACTGGACTCAAGGGTCAAATTGATATTTCATATAAACTTTAATGGTTAAATTAGTATTTTACATATAATTTGAGATGAAATTAATATTTTGTAATACCCCAAATAGTGGGACAGTGATTAAATTAAAAGGAATTAAAAATAGGGAGGACTAAATTGATTAATTGATAAAGAAGAGAAATGAGTTAGAAATAGTAGTTTAATTAAATTGTAAGGATGAAGGATGAAAAAGGGCAATTGTGGGATTTTTAAATAGAATGAATTTAAAACTCATTTTTATACGATATATATATATATATAATAGAGAAATAAGGTGAAAGGTGATAAGAAAGTCAACACCTTATTTTCTTCTTCTTTTTTCTTTCTCGCATGAAGCCTTAACCCTAACTAAGGTGAGATTTCAAATTTATGGTTTATCTTTCTATTTTTATGTTGGTTATGGAAGATTGGAGTATGAATAGAAGCTTAATAAGGATTAAAATGAGATGAAGATAAGGAATGGTAGAGATAATGGAGATTTTAGGAAATGAGTTTTTAAATGATATGTTAGTATATTAGTGTTTATTGATGATTATTAGTAGTTTTGACTTGTTAAGGTGATAAATAAGAGATTAGAAGCATTGGTTGAGTGAAATAACAAGTTAGAGATTGTGGTATGATTCTTGGAATCAAATGCTCTTAAGGAATATTAGATGTTTTAAGTGTTTAAATGAAGGAAAGTTGGTAAGGCTAAGTAAAGAAGTGTTATATAGTATGATTAGGTGTAAATGAGAGGAAAATTGGCTAAAGTTGGATAAATTTTGAGTGGAAAACTGGAAAATCTGGGTAGGGGTATCGGTACCCTATGGAACAGTACTGATACCCTATGCAAGAATTAGGCTAAATTATATAAGAGGTATCGATACTGATTCAACTAATATCGGTACCCAAATAATGTGGTATCGATACCATGGTAAGGGTATCGATACCAGTAAACATCGAATCTAAATTGGGTATCGATACCTAGAGGAGGTATCGGTACCATAGCATAGGGGTATCGATACCATGGTGAGGGTATCGATACCAGGCTACATCGAAGTTAATTTTGGTATCGATACGTGCAGGGGGTATCGATACCCTAATAGGGTAGTATCAATACCATAATCAGGGGTATCAATACCAAAGGGCCAGAAATGTTAATTTGGAGCTGATAATGTTGTAGGAAGTTGATAATAAATATTTTGATTGATGTTAAGTTATAATTGTTAGGAAAAATACTAATAATCGATATTATGCATGTTCTTAATGAATATGGAATAGATCGCAAACAAGCTCTTGAACCAAGTAAAGCCAAAGACAAAGACAAACTTCCGGAGTAGCAAATTGTGAATTTGGGATATCAAAGCAAGGCAATAGAGGTGAGTACTTTATTATAAGTACGAGAGATTATGAATATTCAATTTAGCTTGTTTAAATTATATATATATATATATATGTGTGTGTGTGTGTGTGTGTGTGTGTTATAATATTGATTATGATATTTTATAAGTATAAAAAGAATATCATGAATAAGTTTTAGAGTATGAACTGCTCTAAATCAATTTCATAATTGAAAATGCATGAAAGGATGCATAAAGGAATGAACGGATGCCATAATTGAAAATGCATGAAATAATGCATAAAGGCATGAACGAATGTCATAATTGAAAATGCATGAAAATATGTATAAAGGCATGAAAGGATGCATAAAGGCATGAACGGATGCCATAATTGAAAATCAATTTCATAATTGAAAATGCATGAAAGGATGCATAAAGGCATGAACGGATGCATAAAGGCATGAACAGATGCCATAATTGAAAATGCATGAAAGGATGTATTAAGGCATGAACAGATGCCAAAACTGGAAATGCTTGAAAATGGTGTATTAGGACATTAAAGGATGTCCTTTATATTAAAAAGCATAAATGAATGTGTAAAAATGTGATAATAGACATAAGTGACTTAAATGAGCTAAAGATAAGTATGTTGGACATACTAAAGACTATATTAAAGATAATACAACCAATGTTTGAGTATAATAGGAATGATTTAATACATTCCTATGGATGGTATAAATTCTTCTGAAGTGAAATAACTATGAGATACGTATGTATTCTTTAATGTTATTTGTTATATTATCTCTCTAAGTAAATGCTTATCGTGTGTGGTTTCTCACGTGTAGGACAAAGACAAGATTAGCTGAGTAAGTAGTGCTTTTGTAGCTGTGGTGATCATCAACTAAGGTGGACAAATTCGTAACACCAGACAATCTAATATATTTTGGAAGTTTTATTGGCATATAATATGTAACATCCTCAATATCGGGTTAGTGATCAAATTGTAAAGTTTTAGAATTTGGTGACTAGAGTTGAACCATGATTAGTTCAATGATTTATTTGAAAATAAATCATAAAAGTTGTTAGTAATTATAAGATGAATTGAAGGGCAAATGGGTTATTTGACAATGAAGATTTTTATTTTCCTTATAAGATAAGGAAATCACGTGGGAAGAGAGAAAAGGTTCCAGAGTTCTCTTCTATTCTATTCTTCCTTCTTCATACGTGAAGGCTTGACTCAAAGGTGAGTTTCTTTGTTTGTTGATTAATTATTGATTTTAAGGTTGAGTTATGATCATTAGATGATAATTAAGCTTAAGGAAAGCTTAATTTTTTGTAAAACAACTATATGAAAGATATAGAAGAGATTAAAGAAAATGAGTTTTTAGATGAATTTCTGGAAAAGAGTTAATAAGTGAAATTTGAGAATGAATTTGACTTGTCATCACTAAGAATAAGATATATGAAGTTAGAAAGGATTAATAATAAAGTTGAAAGTTTAGTAAGATTCTTAAATTTTAAGAATCATGATGAGATATGGAAGATAAAGATGGTTTACATGGATATAAGTTGGTTTAAGTAACGGTAGTTGAATTTAATGACATAATAGGGGCTTAAAATAGAAGAATTGAATGAAGAATTGATGATTTTCGGGCTTAAAATGCAAGTTCTGGGCAAGGTGTATCCATGCACATTCAATGTGCATCGATGCACTCTTTAAAGAAGAAACATCGAATGCAATTGGTACATCGATGCATCCCCTTAAAATGAAAACATCGAAGGTAATTTGTGTATCGATGCATGGGTAGTGCATCGATGCATGTGTTAAAGAATGCATCGATGCACTGTAGAATGCATCGATGCACTTCAAGGGAAAATTGAAATAGACATTTCTTTTGGTCTAAGAAATGATAGATTAGAATATATCAATTGGACACTGATATGTATCAATGTACGATTATATAGATATCGAGCACGAACAAGTTCCAGAACGATTATCAAGTTAAGATTCAATCGAAAACAAAGTTCGGATAGGTCGTTAGAGTAAGATGCGCAAGAAAGAGAAAGAGCTTGGTAGTGTTATTGGTGATTAGGTGAGTACATGATAGTAAGTATATGTTATGTTAGGGAATTTAGACTTGCGATGAGTCTAATTCCGATATTAGATTACATGAGTACAAATATACAAGCATGTTGCATAGGATGTTTATGAGTAGATGGATATACATATATGCATTTAGAAGTTAATGCATCTGTATATATGATTTATTTGAATGTATATTATGTGATAAA